CATCTGGGGGGGGGGGGGATAGGAAAAAACAAGGGAAAATAGGTTACCTTGCATAATGACTTAGCCACTCTCAGTCTCTATTCAAGCCTAAGTTAATTGTATCAAATTTGCAAATGAATTCCAATTCTCCTAATTTTTTTAAAGACCTTGGTCTCACAAACATCTTATCTAAATCCCTTCAAATTTGCTCCACCCCAAAATAATCCCTCTCTGACTACAGACCACAGATGAGGAATTTCAAGCAGAACGGATGTTGAGGAAATTAGAGGGATGTGATCAAAATTGGGTTTATATAGCAAGCTAATTAGAACTCTAGCTACCATAGAGAATGGCTATATCTAGTCCATAATAGTGACTTTCATACCACTCCTGTAGAGATAGGCATTAGCCCCCTGTTAACCTATATTGTGGCTCCATAGGCTCTTCTCTAGAACAGCTAATTACTTTTTGTTTGTTAAATAAACCTAGTTTTTACATGATTTTATGGTTGAAGTTTTACATGCACAGACATCAGGCAATTCAAAGCTATGATTCCCATGGCAAACACAATCAATTTAAAAATAACATTTCTGTCTGAAATTTGTTACCTATCACAGTTATAGTTTACATCTGAGATCACTAAAACTAAAAGAGATTAGAAAAGTAATATTTTCCCCCAGTTGGTTTATGCAGTGCGTTTAACAGCACTTTGTGAATGGTTATTTTCACTGTTTTCCCTGTGCAGTCACTCAGTTTGTGTGAGTCTTTACACTGACGCGGGAGGGAAATATTTTTTAAATGTAGGAAAATACGATGGTAAAATCAGGAAAATGTGCAGTGGGACTTGCAGAGAGGCAGGTGTAATGCCCCAAACTACTTTTAACTTTGTGTTAATTGACTAGAAGGGAGCTGTTCAAGGCTCAAATGGCAGCTAGGCCCGTAGTCCAAATGGCAGTTAGGCATCTATATCCCATTGACTTTCAGTTGGAGTTAGGTGCCTAATTGCCATTTGTGCCTTTGAAAATCTCCCCCTCTATTCCTGTTGATGCTGTCTCTATAACTTGGCTCCATTGTACAGGGCCAAATCCTCGACCCATCAATGTGGGGAGGCGACTCAGATAGCCATGAGGAGGTAGGCATGGAGGCTCTTCCAGTTCTTAACCAGGATGAAGGAGGACAATTGAGCTGGGAGGTGTCTTATTTCCTTCTGAGAAATAAGAGGGAAGGGGGAGAGCTTCTGCTGGGGAGGAGAAGTCCTCTAGAGGTTAAATTGTTTCATCATGAATTGTGTATATTTGAGATTCTTTTAGTTGCTTTCACAGTGTGTGTGTTTACCCTATGGCAAGAGGATTGGTGTGTCATGTAATACAAGGGAGTAGAGAGCCTAATAAAGTTTGGCCTGTGGCTTTGAACTTGTGCTGAATAGTTTTGTGGACTATTTGGTGCATATTTGGTGCAGAGGGGAATATTTGGTGCAGAGGAGAAACTCCAGGAGAATGTACTAAGTTCTTTTAGTGCAAATTGCTCATATTTTCCTACTGTTCTTAATTCTTCCCGTTTTCACACCTGGGGTAAGGTAAGTAATCTTTCAGTTAAATTTATAGAGAAAACACCTTGTCAGGCCACAGCAGAGAAAAAAATCCTTGTGTAAGAGTGCCTCATAGACTCTTGTGGGGCCAGATTTTCAAGTGCTCAGAACCTAATACTTTCCATTGTGATACTGTGGCCAGATTTTCAAAAGACCCACTTATTTTTGGCATCTAAACAAGAGCTGAGCTCTTCTGAAAATCTGGCCCTCATTGGACAGCAGAATAAAACTCATAGTGGTAACTGTAACATCACATAGACATGTTGATAAATAGGTGATGTTATATGCCGATTCAGCATGTGACAGTATGTAATCATAGAATCATAGAATATCAGGGTTGGAAGGGACCCCAGAAGGTCATCTAGTCCAACCCCCTGCTCAAAGCAGGACCAATTCCCAGTTAAATCATGTAATGTTCTAACCTGCATTAAGTAGCAATGGTCTTAATTCTGTTTCTTTGGGTGTGTCTGTTTTAAACCCTGTGCTATACAGTATTGCATGTAGCAACATTTCATTTCTTCCTTCAGTCCAAACAGATTACTGTTATGTCAATGAGTCACCTGCAGTCATTTCCCCATGTGTATAACATTTTATTTTCTAATAAACCACATGGAACTCCTGGAGGAATTCTGCACCACTGCGCAATGCAGAATTTTGCAGAAATTAACATGCATGCGGAATTTCCTTTCTCCCACAGAAATGGGCTGCAGTACTGCTGGCCACCACTAGAGACCAATGGACCCAGTAGAGCCCAGCTTGCACATAGAAGACCCTGCTGGGGGAAAGGGGAGGGACCTACAGGGTTCCTGGTAGCTGCAATTCCCAGCATGCCCTGGAGGAAGGAGAGAGCAGCACGCAGGAAACTCCATGCAAGCCTGGGACCAAGCATCAGGCTGTTTCTCCCTCTGGATTCATGGGCTCAGGCGGGAGGGAGTGTCTGGGTTGAGGGGGCTACGGCTGGGCTGTGGGAGGAAGAAGGGGCAGGTGTCTGGCCTCTAAGGGGTAGGGGGTGTGGGTATCTGGGCCAGGGGAGCCACAGCTAGGCTTGGGGGGGCACCATGGCTGGGCTCTGGGAGGGGAGGGGTTGTGGGTGTCTGCCCCCCCTCCCCCCAGCTGGGCTCTGGGTCGGGGGAAGGGGACAGAGAAACAGGAACTGGGTTGTCATAGGGGTTTCTTTAACTCCCTAATCTTGGGAGAATTTTTGCATGTGTCTGTATTGTTACAGACACACTTGCTGACAGGTATTCTGAAATAAATTATCAAAATATTTGAAACTGGTGTGATTATGTAGTGTTATTTTGACAAATAAAATGTACATAATTTTAAAATATTCTGCACAGAATTTTTATTTTTTTGGCACAGAATGCCCCCAGGAGTAATATGGTTTGGAATACTGTAAACTATAATATTTCTAAGGCTACTTGGCATGTTTGATTAGTTATTACAGTTTGGTTTTCCATGCAAAATTCTGTATTTCAAACTACACTGGACAAAGTACTAGAAAATTTTATATTGAGAGTAAACCTGCACTGGTGGGGGATGGACTAGCTGATCCAATGGGACTTTTAGCTCTCTAATTTCTGATTCTTATAAGCCCATGCTACAGAACCATAGAACTGAAGTCTGCAAAATCTGGTGTGAATCTCTATTGTACTGTCTATGCACCAAGGGATCACTAGCAAGATTTTAGCCAGTTCCTAAAGAGAGCTAAATGAGATTTACATGGTATGGCACTTCTGGTTTTCCGAGCTACTTTTTGCAATGAGCATTTAATTTTAGATCAATAATTGCAAATGATTATGGAAAAAAATTATTTATATTGGCTTTCATGGGTCCCAACCAAACAACAGTGGCTGAACAACCTTGAACTTCGGGGGTTGTTTAAAATCCAAGCCCAGATCTGGAATTTTCAGATGGCCACTATCTTTATAATGGGACAGACCAGTTCCTCAGATACAATCGGACCTAGACTTTGGGGTGTTACAAATGTAGATCTGAATTTTGCAGTGTGAATTCTTTCTGTCTCTTGTTTAAATTGCTGCAAGCATCAATTGCCCCCATCTGAAAATAAACCCCATATTTGGACTTCATCGGGGACCAGATCAGAAGACTAGGTAGAAGCCAAAAAGTGACGTTAGTGAGAAAACAGAAGGAATTAGTCAAGCATCTGTCCATCAAATCAGCTAATTTAACTCTTCTCAAGGTAGCAGTGTTAACTTACACATTAACGAAATCCCACTGAATAATTTGTAATGAATTTTTTCAACGAGTTTTCCAACTTTTTCTGTTCATAAATTGTCTGCTAACAGATTGTAATTTTCTTAAAGGTCATTGTTATTCAGAATAATTTGTTGAGTAGATTCTGTGCATAATTCTTGGTCTATAGCTCATTTGTGAGACGTTTATTTTAAAAATTTGATTGGAGCTTTGATTCGTCACATAAATCACATTATACATTTCTGTTCCTTAATTGGAAGAGTGCAACTATTAGAAATAGGTTTCGAGGGATTACTTTTGATTTATTGACTGACTGAATATGAGCTTTTCACAAATATTCTACAATATTTTGCTTAAAATTCACTGCATGCGCTGTTCACTGGAATAGTTGCAGAAAGCAAACAGCAAAAGGCTCATCAGTGTTGACAAAACGTGTGTGCCCAGCTCTCAGGTTAACCCTGAACTAAACTTTTACTTTGCCTGGTTTCTGCCTAACACTGTATCTGTCATAGAACATTTTAAATGCAGCAAAAATATTCCCACTGTTTGGACAGGGATTGGCTCTCTGATCATATACGGAAAGAGGAAAAGTAGACCCCATAGCATACTTGCTTCCAAAACAGACTGCGCCCATACGCAACGCCATCCTATACAGAAGTGCACAGGGTTGAGGGTACCTCTGAAGAGCAGAATAATTAATCACTCTGCATCTAAACAATGCTGCTCTGCTCAAAATGGAGACTTTCAAACATTGTCTGTAATGCCAAAGCATCAGAAATGGATCCTTTATCATCTTCTGTAATTTACACATAACTTGAGTTTTGGTGCTCAGCAGAAGACTGTATAAGACACACAGTTGCACATGTAAGATCAGAAATGATTTCTTGGCTTAAAATTAGAAACTTAAGAGCCACAGAAGTTATAATTTATGGCCTCTATCCTGAGAGGTGCTGAGTACCTCCTTCAAGATGCTGTGCGTGCCCTCAAATCCCATGAAAGATGCTGAGCACCTTGCAGGATCAGATCCTTTGAACACTGACACTTCATAGCGACTCTGTACAAACATTCCTCTTTTGGTTTTTTTGTAAGATGCTTATGTCACTTCTTACCCTATATGTCTGATCCTTTTCTCCTTCATGCTGTTGACAAGAATGTAAGCATTTTCCCTCTGAAGAAGAGGGAGAATTAATAATGATTTTGGTTTTTGTTCCTGCAGGCAAGTGAAAACCGGAGGCTCTTAAATGCTCTGAAAACCTTGTTAGACGACTTCCGTTCTGAGCTCCGGGATGATGAACGAGAGCGACATGGGCTCCAGCAGCAGTATGCCACAGACAAGGCAGCTTGGGAGGTGGAATGGACTGAGCTGAAGTGTCGTCTGGAACAGGTACCGTACGCAAGCTCTGTGCCAAAAGACACGTGATTTTTCATTTAAAGGCCTGATTCCCAACCTGGTTTGGAGCTAAGTGAAAGTAATTGACGAGAATTGGTTTTAATCACTTACTGGAATAAGAAATCCATGAGAGTCACATAAGGGATCATATTTATTTATTTTATGCCAGGTTCCTGCAGCCTACCTCACCTGAGTAGTGCCTTACTCCATGAGTAGCCCCATTGACTTCAGTTACATCAGGGTGACTATTAATGGAGTAAGCTACTATTCAGAGTGATCAAGGGTAGAGGAATCTGGCCCTTTATTTTATTATAAGAGTGGGCTGGTAATTGCTCAGCAAAGGGCACGAAATGTGTGGGTGTCTGTATCTGATCGGTGTATGGATAAGAAAACGTTTCTTGATATTCTGGTGTTTCCCTAATAATTTCTCATTCACTCAAGTAACTAGGCCATGATGCTAGTTCGGTGCCTCAGAATGGTACATCAATAACTGCTGCACTAGATGCTTTCTGAAAAGAAAACAGCCCATTAATAATATTAAGCCATCAGATCAGTAGGTTAATGTTTAAACCAGCAAGTCAGAGTCGCTGGATGATGCTGTGTTGTGTCCAGTTGAAAGGGAAGCTTTATCTGCCTGTTGTTGTAGGCTATTATTAGAATCATATATATCAATTCATATGCCTGGTGCTGCAGTGCTATGTATTGCTGATCACAGGAGGTGCTCTGTTTTCTGTGGTGGTATAAAAACAAGCCAGCAGAAAACCACTAGGATCCATTTCTGATTCTGATGGACTAAAGTATTAGTGTATGGCATTGAAGGGGCAAAATTGAGTGTTTAGGTCCTGTAAGAAAGATTTGTAGCTTTGTATTATCTATAAAAAGTTGTGTAGCTTTAAATCATCTGTGGAAAGCAGATATAATAAAAATATTCACTACACAGGTGACACATTTTAGAGGATTTACTGTACATCAGAGCACTGTCAAGAGACTCAGTCTGACTCACAGCATTCAGACCTGAACGCTCCTTTCCCAGTTTGTATGCTAGAGGGTTTTCTCTCAGAGTACAGGAGTAGCTTTTATTTATATGTAGTGGAATTGAAATCCGTTTTCTGATCAAATGCTTATAAGTGTACACAAATGTTCTGATAATTGATTGTTTATTTAAAAAAAAACCACCCTTGATGGCAGGTTTTTCTTAAATTAACCTTTAAATGGGAGTAAAGAACAAAACATAAGAAAAGAGGCAAACTGCAGTTGTTAGCATGGAGTTTGTGTGCATTCGTGTTTTTGTGGATGTGTGCATTTGTCATTCAGATAGAAAAGTAGTCAGCACCATGATTGGCATAAGTGGGTGGAGGAGTGTTGCTCACTACACACTGACACAGGAAAAAATAGATTTCAGTCTTTAGCACCCTTCAAAGTAGTGGTTATATCTGGCTCAGTAAGATCCCTCTTGCTATCTTTATCATTGTGTGATCCTACCGGTAATATTTCCTGTCACATGGCAGTTGTTGGGTGGTGATTGGTTCTCTTGTCTCCCTCCCCCCCCCCCCCCGCACTTCCCAAAATCAATGCAAAGAATAAAACGGATCAGCATGTAACACACGGAGATCATCTCTTACCAATATCTGAGTGATATCTGCACATCATGATAAAGACAAGCCCACTAATGAAATATCAATAAAGATACCACATAAATCATCAGAATGTCAATTATGATAGTCCCAATGATCATCCCATTGCGATATAACACATGTACTCTCAACCACAAGGAAGACAGAAATAACAAAACATAACACTAGCAGTTCAAAAACCAAAACATTCTCTGTAGGTTCATTCTCAAAATCAGTGGAAGAGGAACTGGTGAATGACTTATGCCAAGTATCAGCTTTGAGTAGTTGCGGTAATATCATTTCATATTCTGTGAAAACGTGGAATAATAAAAACTTGAATCAATCAACCAGGTCAGTCACGTCAATCATGGTGCAACCTACCATGTCATGGTGATGGGAGGCACCATCTTACCTGTTATAAAGAGTAGGGGTTACCATAAGGGGGAATGAGGAGTGCAGCTCCCCCTGCTCTGCTAAAAGCAGAGGAAGAGCTTCCCCTTCTCTTCCTGGCTAGGGTTCACACTAAGGGTACTTCCACACTGGCGCTAGAGGTGTAATTCCCAGTTCAGGCAGATAAACCTGTGCTAGTTCTGATCAAGCTAGCGCCCTAAAAATAACAGTATAGCTGCAGTATCATGAGTTGCAGGGACATGCTAGCCCACCCACCCCATGGACAATCCCGTCTGAAACCCTAGGTAGAGGCTCAGGACAGCTAGCTCATCCCACTGTCTGTGCAGCCACTGTTACTTTTAGCTCACTAGCTCCATCAGAGCTAGTGCAGGTATGTGTCCCAAGCTGAGAATTATAGCTCCAGCATAGACATACCCTAGGAAGTGCTCCCTCTCCTCCTGGGCAGATGTAGTGAGATCTCTCCCTCCTGTGGCAATCTTCTTTAGCCACTGGGTGCGAGAACTATGAAGGCACCCAACAATGAATAAAAGAATCAGTGCCTTCCTGGTTTCTCTTGCTCTCCTGACTACTCTAGTTTACCTGTGAAGCAATAAGTCAGATTAGAAAGAGTATTTTCCTTGAGATGGTCACCTGTTAATTTATGGTTACTGAAGCAAGTTTGACATTTTGATGGCTGGTGATCCCTGTGTAGGGGTCAGGGAAGAAAACTCTCCTGGTAGAAAAGCACTACATGCCAGCCATGATAATATACCTGCTGCTTTTGAGTACAACAGGAAGATTTAATAGGGTGCACATCATTAAAAATGAAAGCCTTGACCTGCAGGATTGTGAGTGTGTCTTACTTTTCAGGAAGGCCCTTGGGCTTTGATTTTAAGATAATGAAAGAGAATGATGGGCCTTAAGATGGACCAACAAAAGATCTTGCTTTTCTGGGCATTTAGAAGAGCTTGGAGTATGGGAGATATCAGTGTAACAGCCAAACCGTGCTTTGTGTTGCACAGGTGCACTTGGGGCAGAGAAGCTGCAGGACGACTCTTCCTCCTTCAGGTTCATTTCTGGAGTGTGGGGAAGACGACCTGTCTAGTGTGCTCTTTCGATGTTCCACAGCCAAGGAATTGTGGTCTGGTAGCTTTGGAGGTGGTGTCTGGTCACCAGCTTCCCTGCTCATAATCTGAGGTCTATTGTAGAAGAGTTGCATGACACTCCCTTTTTAGTGCACATCCCTCTCTCCCGCTGAGCTATCCTGCCTTTCACATGCAAGATGGCTTAGGGACCTACCATTTGTTCAGCACCAGGCCAATCCACCATGCTTTCTTTTGTTCATCCAAGGTGAAGATTTTGCTCTAAGATATTTAGGCAACAAGTGTTACAGGGAGAATGAGAAAGATAATGCATCTTGCCAAGGTTTGCTTTTTGTCCTGTAATTTCCTAAACATAAGAATAAATTTACTTACAAAGGATGATGATGCAATCTCCACACATTACAAGAAGATTGCAAAAACAGGGGGCTTGCTTTTCAGCCTGCATTTGATGTTTCACTGCTGCAGGACATCTTGAGACTTAATCCTGGTCTCTGGCAAGTCTCCACAACATAACACGCTAGCTACAGCTATTGCATGTTGTGACATTGTTCCCCCACATTCTAACGAAGTTGTAGGGTTGAGATTGCGCTCTAGCAGCCAGCACCTAGGGCTTCTGTTGTAGGATGGGAAATCTGAAGATGTGTTAATGTCCCTTGAAGGGGACCTGTAAATATTTCAAAACTGTGTCCTAAATGACCCCTTGTTAGGCTAAGAGGTAAGGAAACCACAAGAAAGTTACTTCACCTGACTATTTAGGTTCCCTGGCTGTGTTGGCTGACCCAGGCTTTGCAGTAAAGCCCGAACATGCATAATTCTGTGGTGTGACAGCTACCAAGTAAACCCAGCAGGAGCTAACAGCTAGTCCATAGTCTTCCAAAGAGAGATCAAACAATAGTAAAAACAATCCTCCACCCCAGCCCCACTCTACCTCTGCACCTGGAAAAATCCCATTACACACAATGTCATATCCAGCACTAAAATGACTTGGCTGACCCTCAATGGGCTGGCTGCAGTGGTAGCTGTGACTCTTCAATCTGCTGTCTGCTGCAGCATCAAGTGGAACAGGAGCCATTTGGACACACATTTGAGAGCTGTAACAAAAAAAAGAAGCTTTTTCTTTGTTTGTTATTTACATTATGAGCTTGGAAATTGGCAGCATTTGCTACATCTTTCTCAGTAAATGAAGTGAGTACATTTTTGAGCTAAATTTCGGGAAGCCTTTCCGGGTGTGCACCAGGATATGGCCGGGGGGAGGAAGAGAGCAAACTTGGCTACTCTTGAAGCTTTATGTTCACCTGAGTGGCTAAACTGCACTGGAGAATATGGCCAGTGATGCCTGTCTAAGATATAATGCCATCCAGTACTCCCCCAGGAGCAGCGTAGCTCTGCACCACCCAAGACTGGACAATGCCTGATATGCATGACTGAGTACTATGTTTGCAGCTCACCTTTAGCCATCACTAGATATCAGGGGTGAGCGAGGAACTTATTCAAGGAAGACAAAAACTTGGAGAGAGAGAGAAATAAAAACAGTCAAGTGAGGGGCACAAGACCATGCTTGTAAATGTTGGTTTCAGGTGTAAAGATGAATGGAACATCATTGCCATCAGAACGATTATAGGGAGAGGGTTAGCTGGATTTAATCTACTCTATGTAGATGCTGTATTTCTAATGGGCCTGTTGCTCTGTTATCTTGTTGATGTGAAAGAATCAGAAGCTTTTGAGGCTGACACGCTTGTGCTAAAATGAAATTAATGCATAGCACGTTTTCGCCTTTAGAAGTTTTCTGTAGTTCTTATTTATTTAGGGTGGTATTTTAAAAAGGGCAGCTCCCCATATTTCCTATCTAGTAACTTATACAGTTCTTGTTGCAGTGGTATCTGAGCAGCTCAGAATCATTAATGGATTTTATCCTTCCAACACTTCTGTGTTAGGTAGATGCTATCCTCATTTTACAGACAGGAAATTGAGGCACCGGGTTTATGATGTTGACTTGCCTAAGGTCACCTAGGAATTCTGTGACAGAGTTGCATATTCATCCCAGATCTCCTGAGTCCAATTTCAGCACCCTATCTACCAGCTAGATCATCCTAACTTTCAGGGTGTGTCTATGCTGGAGCTAGAAGGTGAAATTTCCAGCTCGAGGAGACATAGCTGCACTATCTCCAATTGAGCTAGCATGCTAAAAATAGACATATACCTGTGGTCTCAGATGGGATCATACTCGGGGCAGCTAGCCCATTCCACCACTTGCACTGTCACCGCTATGAGTCTATATTTAGCATAATAACTCAATCAGAGAAAGCACAGGTATGTCTCTTTGAACTGAGAATTACACCTTTCAGCTCCGGCGTAAACGTACCCTAACTCTGTCTAACTCTGGTCCCATTGAAGTCAATGGAAATTTTATCACTGACCAATGAGAACAGAGTTAGACAAATGTTGAGGGCTTTTGAAATTCTAGCCTTATTGTTTTAGTCTCTGTTTTTAGGAACCCCCTCTTAGAAGTTTGACATTTCTACTCTTTCTGTTTTAATTTTTTCATATTACTTTTTCTCATGTGTTGAAGAGAGCTACTGTTGGCACCTGTGTTTCTGGTTGTTCATCAACAACTTCAGCTTATTGAACCAAATTCTGCCAGTGCGATCCCTTTGTAGTCAGACCTCACTTCAGTAGGCTTTCACAGGTGTAAATGGGTGTAAGAAAAGACCCATTGTCTGGGCACAGTGTCATCAGATGTTGTCAGCACAGGGCTAGAAATAATACAGTACTTGTTAGCTAACTGCTGCAGAGACAGCCTAGGCAGTGGGACGCATTGTTTATTGTGGACATTACTAAGATTAGCTATTTGTTTTTATAATTTGATAGGTAACAGTGTGTCTGTTTTTTAAATAAGAGGATCATAGAAGTGAGAGGTAGAAGAGATCTATTAAGTCTATTTGTCACTCCCAGTACCCAATGCAGGATTGTTCCCTAGAGCTCACGGTAATACAGTGTTAAGTTACTCAAGGGATGGGGTTTCCACCATTCCCTTTGGGAAACTGTTTCATAGTCTTTAGGCATCACTGTTGGATAACTTGCCCTGAGATTCAGCATGAATTTTCTGTTGATCAGAGAGGTATTTCGAACTGGACATATTTCCCAGGAATAAGCGTTTTAAAGTGTTGTCATCTTCTTTCACAGAAGGTGCGCTTTTTCCCAACAGATAGGCCTCCTGTGTGTATTCAGAGTAACTGCTTCTTGCTTTAGAGACAAAAATGAGTTTTCACTACTTTTTACTCCTGTTTGCCCGCAGATCTAAGGGAGAAACGGCTGAATCGATTCTGGTTCACACATCATTGAGAGAGTTGCTAATGAGGTTCCAGTTTCAGGGCCAAATTCTTCCCTTCCTTACATTTATACAAACCCAACAGAACACAGTGGGCCAGATCCTCTGGTCCAGCTAAGCTGTCTTCAGCACAAACTGAAGGAGAGCAGGGGGAGGTAGTGTTAGGTAACATTTACGTTCCCATGATCCTGGGGCAGAATGAAAAAAGACCCCAGTCCTAGTTTAAAGGCTGCTCAAGGGACCACTCCAAATGCCAGAGATTACTGAGGCCTGGGGATGCCCCAGCTACAGCCATTTGTCCTGTTGCTTTCCCCTTCACCAGGAGCCATGAGTAAGGGTGGGATAAGAGCCTCTGCGTGCTACCTGAAGATTACTCCGTACAGAAGGACTCCCAGGGGACAAATCCACTGGCTTTAGGGCTGCTTTGCGCTGATGGAGCCATGCAAAGCAGCCCAAGCATAGCTGAGGACCAGCCCATTGTGCTTACACAGATATTGTGATGAAGTCAGAATTAGGCCCTGTATTATCTTTATTGCCCGTGATATGCACAAGCCAGAAAGAGCCAGTGTGACTCTCCGATCCCAGGATGGGTTTGCAGAACTGGCATTTAGGAAAATTACCTTTTTTTGGTAAACTGAACAGACTGGATCTGGAAACTGTTAACATAAAAAACAAGGAGTCCTCAGAGTGCCATTAGTTTCATTACCTTTCTTGAGCAAAACTGCATTTTAAGATTAGTGATACTTTGGGTGTGAAAACATTAACAGTATCACTTTAAAATGGCTTTCTTTGTCTAGCACAAGCTTTACCTGGGAAATGAGAATAACTAACAGCTTCTCATTTTACTGGCAGCTGGAAGGGAAGAATGAAAAAGCCCAGGGGGAAACTGTCTTGGCCACTGATTCAAAAGGAGCTTTTAAGAGGGAGAGAGAGGAGCACAAGAAATTGCTGGCTGACAGTCAAAGCTTGGTGATGGACCTACGATGGCAACTCCAGCACAGTGAGAAGAATTGGAACAGGGAAAAGATGGAGCTTCAGGATAGATTGGACAGAGACCGGCGAGAGTGGGAGCGACAAAAGAAGGAATTGCTGAGGAGGATAGAACAGGTAAGAGGTCATTGGCTGATCAGGTGACTAGCTATATATGCTAATTGATACATATTATCTAAATTCAGATCACGGCCAAGAAACTTTATTAAAAAACTGCAGAGGAATAAGTTGGGTTCTTTGCCACATTAGTGTTTCTCATAATATGCAATGATAAAAATACGGTGTGCAGGGGAGGGAAACACAGTATGTTGCATGGATTATTAGCATCTGAGAAAGCAGTTTCAGGTTAATGGTCATTTCCTGCCTCGTTCCATTTACCCAACACATGCACAATCACATTGATTGTCTCCATCTGAAACCTTTTATGCATCTTTTTTTCTTGTTGAAAATCTAAATCCGACAGTTAGGATTAGTCTAGGGGGTTGCCACACGTCCGGTTTTCAGCTTGTGTGTCCACGTGCCACTTGACAAGCCCTGATGTCTGGCTTTTGTGATCTGGGGAGGAAGAGGCAGAGAAGGGGGCGGGGCCTGGGAAAGAGGCAGAGCAGGTGTGTGGTCTGGGGGGTCCAGTTACCAGCCATTATAAAGGTGGCCACCCTACATTAGTCAAGGTTTGGCAGATCGTTCCCTGCCCAGAAAATCTGACCATCCATAAATTCACCACCAAAGATGAAGCAGCTATGACAGTTCAGTCTCTATTTGAATTATTCTCTCTAGTAAAGTAACGCACATGATGATGCTGAAGAAGCCAGTCTGATAACAGCTAAGTAGCTACAGTAAGGCCAAATATTCAAATGCTGCTTCTGATACTGCTTATACACAGTTTTTGCCCATCTCATTTCTGTTGCACATTTGGCAATTGTACATCTAACTACTCAGTTTTCATGCCCAAATGCTCAGGAGACTCACTGATTTGAACGTTTGACATCAAGTAGACACAATGGCATTATTATTTGTCTGGAAAAGACACACAGACAGACTCACACCTCAAAGTTGAATAGGAAAAAGTTAAAACACAGTTTTTGGCTGACAGTTGTTATGATCAAAATTATGTATCAGAAGAACAGAAAACAATTGAAATTCTGAGTTTGCATTTTACTGGTTACTTTCTATCCACGGGACATCGAAAGCTGCACTGCACCAGATTAGTGTGTGCTCTTTAGGCAGCAGTTACTCTTGGGTGATATACAAATTAGCTTTTCATGTTAAATTGATGAAAGTCTGGTATTCTTCATAACCAATTTATGAAAAGGGTACACTTTCTTTATTGCACTCTCCCACCTTAAGTGCTTCAGTGAGGAGCTAACGAAGACCCACTAGGCAACACATATTGTGGGTTAAAGAGTACTCCTAATTTATTCCATGATGTTTGAACACAGAGAATTCAGGAAAAATCCTACACTATTGATAATTCTTTAAACCATCACTACATGTGGGAGAAGACAGGGCTTCTAAAATGGGCTATCTGGGCAAGAAGAAAGGAGGGCAGATAGAGAGAGCTGTGCAGACAGAGGAAAAAGTTTGAAATTGATTCAACCTCTCTCTCTTCATTTATAATAATAAAAAATAACATTCTGCATTTCTTTATCATCTGGTAACCTAGGATCTTTGAAGGTGCTTTGCAAGCATTAATGAATTAGGCTGTACAACACCCTGTAATTTAGGTAAATATTATGATGTCTGTTTTTCAGATGTAGCAACTAAGGCATGGGACCTACTAGTCCTGTGGCAGAATTGCTAATAGAAACCACTTAACTCTCAGTTTTGTGGGGTGTTTTAGCAGCTTAATCTTTCTATGGCATGACTATACTGATGTTCTCCCATGGTGTCTAGAATGGTGTTCTAATGCAAAAACCTCTGATCTCCTCCCAAGAGTGTATTTGGTTCCCAAAACAGGAAGTTCATAGCTGTAAGAAAGTTTCCCTGTGTGTTAAAGGGACACAGGTGCAAACATTCGTTGACAGATGCTTCAGTACTTGTTTGGGTGTTTTGGTTGCTGTCCCTGTGAAGTTTGTTTTGTTTTGTAAGCAATATCGCCCTTGTGTCTGTTCAGTACTCCGGGGGAATTTAACATGATTAGAAGCTGAAAATTAGTGGAGAAATAATTTTTAATGTTTCCTAGCCTTTAATTTTCTTTAAACCAGATGGAACCTATCTGTATCATCTTTAGTAGACTACTTACTAGCTCTCAACTCACCCTGGAACTGTTTCTTTTTGTTATTGTTCAGAAACAGAGTGAGAATTAGTTGTATATGTTGTGCAATAAAGTGTTTGTTTGCAGTATCACTGATAGATTCCAGTTCCAGTCTCAAATCACTACAGAGGATCAGTAATACAGTAACTCCTCACTTAAAGTCGTCCCGGTTAACATTGTTTCGTTGTTACATTGCTGATCAATTAGGGAACATGCTCGTTTAAAGTTGTGCAATGCTCCCTTATAACGTCCTTTGGCAGCTGCCTGCTTTGTCCACTGCTTGCAGGAAGAGCAGCCCATTGGAGCTAGCTGGTGGGGGCTTGGAACCAGGGTGGCCCAGCAGCCCCTCCGTAAGCTCCCCGTTCCCCTAAGTTCCCTGTGCAGCAGCCGCCCAGCAGGCTACCAATTGCCGGCAGTTCAGCTGTCCCTCCCCCCACTGCCATGTGCTGCTCCTGCCCTCTGCCTAGGAGCTACTCCCTGAGCCTCTTGCTTGCTGTGGGGGGGGGAGGGGGCATTTTGAAAATATGGCTCTCTGCCCATATAAATTCACAAAGCCATCTATGTTTATGAGCAAGCATTTCCCTGTCTGACAGGAAACTACCAGAGATTTGCAGGCTTTTAGTTCAATATCCTTTCAGCTCTTAGTCATGCTCTGCTTTATATGGAAGCAATTAGCATATCTCTAAACCCTTTCTTTACAGTGTTTTGCTCTGTACACTCAGTGTATGGGGAAAATACAACAGAATGTATGTTTGAAAACAGAATCTAGAAGATAACAAAATCATATTTGCCAAGTTTCAGACTCATGCTTTCTGCTTATCTGCCTTCATAGTTCCTACATAATACACGAGAGAGAGAGATACATACAAATTATGAAATATTTTATTTTGGATAGTTTATGGGAATAGTACTCAGAGATAAAAACTTGGTGACCTAATTATTTTCACAGCTTTTAAATATTCTCTCTTCAACGTCATTGTCACTGTATTACCCCTTGGGACATCATCCTGTATTATAATATCAAGCTTAATTTTTCCATGAACACACCACCTAGCACTTAAAATTCTTAAATTAATTATGTTCAAAGCTGTTTTTCTTTGTAGGTATGAACAAGAGCATTTCATCCCTCTTCTCCCAGCATGCATGTGTGTATACATACCAACATTTCAACTGTTGCCAACATTTCAACAAAGTGACTAATGATTGTTTTGGTGCCAAAAGTTTTGGATTACCAACCTGAGCCACCTTAAAGTAGAATGATTTTTAGATGTTGAGGATTTAGCACTTTTTGAAAATCAGGCCCCTTTAAAGTATCTCAGGTTGGACACCCAAAATCATTAGTCACTTTTGAAAAATTTAGACTAATATTTCTAATTTCCACAGAACCATAGAAATATAGGACTGGAAGGAAGTTCAAGAGGTCACCTAGTCCAGTGTTCCTCAATGACCAGTCCGTGGACTGGCACCAGTCCCTGAAATCTCCCTGCCACAGTTTAGGAAAGCAGCAAGCCAGTGCCTGGTATCAAAAAGGTTGAGAAACACTGATCTAGTCCATCCCCCCATGCTGAGTCAGTATTAAGTGTACCTAGACCACCCCTGACTTTTGTCCAATCTGTTCTTCAAAAACCTCCAGTGATGGGGATTCTACAGCCTCCATTGGAAGCCTTCTCCAGTGCTTAACTGTACCTTACAGTCTGAAAGTTTTTTCTAATATCTAACTTGAATCTCCCTTGCTGCAAACTAAGCTGGTTACTTCTCCCTATCCTCAGCAGACATGGAGAACAATTGATCACGATCCTCTTTATGAAAATCTTTTATATATTTGAAGACTCTTATGTCCTCCTTCCGCCTTCTCTTCTCAAGACGACACATGCCCAGTGCGTTCAGCCTCTCCTCATAGGCCATGTTTTCCAAATCTCTTATCATTTTTGTTGCTCCCTTCTGGACTCACTCCAGTTTGTTCATATCTTGCTTAAACTATGGTGCCCAAAATTGGATACAGTACTCCAGCTGTGCTGAGTAGAGCCCAACAATTACTCTGTATTTTACATATGATGCCTGTTAATACACCTCAGAATGGCATTTGTTTTTTTTCAGCCTCACTATGTTGTTGACCCATATTGAATTTGTACTCCACTATACGCCCCACTCGATCCTTTTTCACAGTACTACTGCCTAGCCAGTCATTCCCCATTTTAAAGTTGTGCATTTGATTTTTCCTTCCTTACTTTGCACTTGTCTTTACTGATTGTCATCTTGTCATTTATCTTCATTTCAATTGTTTAATATTTATAGGCTAATCCAGTAAACCATATTGTTCCTACCTGATTAATTCCACCTGTAGCTTACTGCCTCATGAACTTCCTAAGGAGCCTTCTTATCCAAACCTTTTCAGGCAGTTTTAGCAGCAAATATGAGTTACTAGGACATTCCTGCTGGCATTCCTTGTTTTTGGAAATATCATTTTTAATTGTGTGATAGTTACAACTGCAATGAAAGTTGCCTATGCTATTAACTTCGGAAAATGTTGTTAGTTCATCCATATTTGTGGCTCCACTCATTCCCCTTCCATTTTTTAGAAGTATGGAACTAGTCACTTTGATGGTTCTCATGTAAATATGCACCTTCTCTGGACATGCCTTGCAAGCCTAATTCCTTAACTAGCTGTTTGACAATGCTGTAGTGTGCTCACCTTGTGGTTTTTTGCCATGCTGTAGTTCCACATAGTTTTGAAAATCTAGCTCTAATCCTTTGTTAAAAGGAATTTTCAACGTCTAAATCTAGAGTTTGGACTGGAGATTGCTAAAAGGGGGCAGCCATTACATTATTGAGTCAGAAGACAATCATGATTATTTTGGTGGAACTCCAAAACACTCCTGGAGCTTATAATTACATTTCTTTGGGATACGGTTGTGAGAGCAATTTAATTTCAGGGGTGACTGTGTGACATTTAAGGACCTGTGTTATGCAGGAGGTCAGATTAGATGTTCTACCAATCCCTTCTTGCCTTACACTCTATGTACTTATGATATTAACTCCAGACTTTGCCCTGGGCTACACTACGACCTTATGTTGGTATAACTGCGTCACTCAGGGGTGTGGAAATGCTGGTGTAGCCAGCGCTAAGTCGATGGGAGATCTTCTCCCATCCACACAGCTACTGCCTCACGGAGAGGTGAAATACATATGATGATGAAGCTCTTCCCTCAGCGTAGGCAGCGTCTTCACTAAGCGTTACAGTGGTGCAGCTACAACTGCAGCGCTGTCAGTGTAGACAAGCCCTTTGCTTTGCTTTGCTTTTTTTTTTTTTTAGTTCAGATTTCAAATAACGATTTGTTTGGTTTTTTTTTAAAGGGGGCATTTAAAAACACGAAGGACAAGATTTCAGAATCTTGGGAACAGCTCCCTGTTGGGAGATGAACACATACTGTAGTGCTAGTTTCGTCAGAGCCAAGCAGTGCTATGCCGAGGTCCGAACTGAAGGTACATCCACACTTCAAGCTGGAGGTATAATTTCCAGCTTGAGCAGATGTACCTTAAAAATGGCATGTAGCCATGGTGATGTGGGCAGCAGGAGAGGCTAGCCGCCTCAAATATGTTCCTAGCGACTCAGGTGGGATCACAGTCAGGACAGCTAACCCCTTGCGCCTCCACGGCTACCCTGCTATTTTTAGCACATTAGCCCAATCAGAGCTAGTGCAGGTATGTCTACTGGAGCTGGAAATTACCTGTCCAGCTTGAAGCGTCAATGTACCCTAAGACTACTTTCCTCTGAGTGCCATGTGTGGATTGCTTCCAAGGAAATTCCTGAGTTTCTTGGCTCCATGTCAGTCTTTGCTTGCTGAAAACCTTTATTCTGTCTCTTGTGCTATTTGTTCTGTTCCAAATACATAACATTAAAAAAAAAATTCTTTTGGTTTGATCACTTCAATAATTTCTGAATGTTGGCAAATAACATAATTTTCACAATTAACCAATTAAAATTAGTAAATTCTAAATGTGTAGTTTGTGGAGAGCTAACTGCAAGCTGGAATGCAAAATCAAATACTGTTGAAAATGTACGTGGGTTTGGTGCCTGATGTGGATTTTCCTCCACTTTTTTTCTGGTCCCTTGCATTGAAGTGTCCTCTCTTGGTAACACGCTGCATTTTCCCTATTGTAGAATCCCTCATTCTCTGCATTGTACACTGAGTAAATAGTATAAACCTGTTCACGTCTCTTGAATATTTTGGAAGTTGTCAAGTCTGAGCTACAAAGCCCACAACGAAGGGCCAAAGTCTTAGAAGGCCAAGTTCTACAGAAAAGACTCAGGTGTTGAGCTACTGGAAATAATCCATGCTAACTTCAGTTTTAATTTGCTCTTTTTTCAGCTTCAAAAAGAAGTGAGCACACGAAAAGGAGACAGCATTCTTTGTGACCAGAAGGAGAGTAACCTTCGTCCATTTTCAACCCAGGGAAACCTTCATGTGCCTCATCCAATGGGGGCAAGGTCCTATTCTGATTCAGATGCCATACAGTTTGACGATCAGTCGCTGTCGAAGCTGAAGGAAAGTGATAGGTGCACTGCCACAGAAAACCTCTTTCTCGATTCACTGTCCCTTGATTCTCCTGATGAATCTGATGAGTCTCGGCCTCAGAGATTGGAACGGGAGAAGTTCTTGACTTGCTTAACTGAAGTATGTTTGTTTTTTCCTATCATGTTTACAATTATCAATATAGCTGTCGTGCTATGTGAAGGGGGAGGCTTTATTAGACACTGCTTGCAGTAATTTGGTGGTGAGTTTGATTGAATTTTAATGTTGCCCCTTGTTATGAGCTGACTGGATTGGTGAAGGTCACTGGATATAATTGGAGGTTAGTCTGGCCAGTCTAAAGAAACCAGAAGGCCCGTAAGAATGTCCTGTTCTTTGGGCCAGGGGAATGAGTTGAAGAGTTAGAAATGGATCATTGTTTACTTTTGATTATGCAAGGAATTACAAGGATTTAAAGCTCTTCCTGTTTTAAAAGGGGCAGGAGCTCTATTTTGACAGATGCTCACGTCAAACAATTTCATTTTCAAAAATCATCCTAAAGTGCCACTAAACATCAGTAAAACAGTAAGTGCTATAGAGAGGTAACGCTGATTGTTTAGAAAGGATATGAAGGAGTCCTAAGTAATTCTGATCTTTCAAAGTCACTTGCTCTGATACCTCAGCATAACATCCAGGGAGATCCAGAATCTCATAACAAAGGGCAATGAGGACGGAAATGATCAGGACACAATGGATGAAATCCAGGCCCCACTGAAGATGGTAGCAAAACTCCAGTTGACTTCAATAGACCCAGGATTTGACCCAGTGAGATTACCTTATAGCAGGCCAGGATAACATCCCATTAGCCTCCATAGTTTCCATCAGAAACAATGGGTTCTAGTTACTTTAGGCTGATACAAACCTGCATGCAAAACTACATATTACATTGGTGATAGCTAGGAAACTGTCAGGTGCCACAACTGTGCAGTTTACTATCTCATTTGAAATTACAAATACACCAAAGCATCAAAGAATTAAAGTCTTCCTTTTTAGTCTCTTTTTGCATGTTAAATTTATATTACAAAACAAATATGCAACAGATCTTGAAAAGACAGGTGCATCATCAACAACAGCTTCTGTATTGTTTGCCGTTTTCAAATTGCAGGTTTTGTGACAGACAACTTTCTGCATTCCTGAAAACTCAGATTTGTGTACATAGGTCAGGCAGGTAGATATCTGAATACTGTTTTCAGCATGTAAATGCTGTTTGTGTATACAAATCATAGCTAACAGTGAACAGAAACTTTCACATCCAAAAATGCAGGCACATATATAGAGACTGCTTTTGCAATTTGGTCATTCAGGAAACATGTTTGTTAGGCAAGCCATGTTTGTTAGGCCCCCTCATTATGTAACTTCAGTTGGGTTTTTTAAGCTTGTGAAAAATTGTGCCAAACCATTTGTTAAAAAATGTAAAGATATTCAAGATGTGATCTCATGCCAGCAATTAAATTGTTGCTTAACAGACCGTAGGAGAATCAGGCTGGTTGGAAGGAACAGGAAGAAGGATAAATGATTTAGGAAATATAAGAATATTTTTCTGAAATTTTAAATGCGTGTGTGTGTGTGTGTGTGTGTGTGTGTGTGTGTGTGGGAAGGTGCACATGTACACACATACAGTATTTAATTTTCCTTGGTGGGGAAAAATGTAACTATATAGCTGTTGTGGTGGGGTTCCCTGTTTATTTTCTCCAAGTGGCTCATTTCATATGTGCTCAGATTACAAGCACAAGAATATTTTTTCCTATTTCCAGTTCTGTAACCTCAGCACTCAGTTCTGCGAGTCAAGTGGTTTTGGATCCTGGTCCCCATTTTCGCACATCGCTGCCATTAATAAAAGTTCTCCATGTGAAATTAGGCCCTCAGTGACTTTTGTGCAGCCTCCTTGTCTTCAAATTATGCTTTAGTGAAACTTATACAAACTCATTTTCTTCAGCAGGTTTCCTCAGGTGTAGCTGATTGGAGCTTAATAAACAGCTCTGTTTATCATGCACACACAAAAAAGGAATCCATATGACTCTCTCTCTCTCTCTCTCAGTTGCATTTGCTTTGCAGTACTAACAGCAATAAAAGTCAGTAAAAACTTAGTGCCTGATTCTCCATTCCTTGACCGCACTGTAAGTGAATGGAGAATCAGGCACCTAGTCCTCAGATACAACTGAGGATGCATACAGGAATCAGATTTGTTGAATCAAAGGGTGCAGTTTTTTGACTAGCCACTTTTAGGAGTAGTATTGTTCTTGGAAAAGTCCTTGTTTTCATGGGGTCAAATTAAAGCCGTTAATACTAAAAGTTTTTTGTTATTGAACTTGTACATTTTTGTTACCTAGCTTGTATTTTGTATAATTGATTAGAAATCTAAATCGTTAAAACAATAGCTCTAGACCAACTGCATCAGGAAAGTATGAGTCTAAAAAAGCTGATTATGGGAATTGTCACTAGGGAATAATTGTTGTAACAGCATCTTAATCCTGTGAGCTATCTGTAGGTATCTCCTTATGAAACGAGCAATAGTCTTCCCACGTATTTAATATAACTAATTTAATGAGTTTTAACTGGTACCATTAGTTAGTGCCTAGAGAATTTATAATGAAATCTTATGTCAAAGGACTACATTTTTGTCTCTTATCTCAGCACAGCTAGGTCTCTGATATAAAACAGATAAGATCCGAAGAGCAAAGTCACTCATGCAGATGTGATCCAGAACTTGAATTTTTAATTGTGAAGAAAGCTCATTGAAAGCTCATTGTTCTTTGTGATAACTTGGACTATAAAAATTCAAGAATGCTTTAGGTTTGGGGTATAATCTCTGATATGAGTGATCCTATTGATTCTACTGGGAATGACAGCATTCATACATGTATATTAAGCAGAGAATAGCCATACAAATACCCTATCCAGGAAGAAGTATGTCATTTTGAAAAAGGATTTTCAAGAACTTATGGAACAACCCAGAGACAAATGACAGAATGCCCCACAGGTGCAAAATACTGCTATTATGTGCTCTGTAAAGGTTTGGAAATAACTGGTGGTTGTTTTGTTTTCCAGGAAGAAGAAACGCACAAGGGAAATCTTCAAAGGTGAGTAAAGCTGACAGAAAAAGCACCAAACATCTAGCTGATGACATTTTGGGCTTTGCCGCAAGCCCTGAGCAAGGGTAGTATATAGCTTTGCTGCCTTGGAACCAGATTAATGTATTTACTCAGAAATTAATTTGTCTCAGTATGGTCCTACTCTTTCCTAACTGAATAAATTGGTCCAAATTAAGCCCTGGTGTAGGTAGATTTATCTCTGAAGTTAGTGGAGCTGCAGCATACGCCAAATTGAATCTGGCCCTAATCTTGATTAAAAATTCACAACAGATTTTTTTTAACCACTGTAACATTGCTCTATAAATCTCATCACTTTTTAAAATCCTGGGTGGCTCATCTAGTTTGAGTTTGCTCATTGGGCTTGCATAGATAATTATGGTGATTTACATTTTTATATAGTCCCTTTTATCTAGAACAGTCGTTTTCAACCTTTTTTCATTTGTGGACTCCTAAAAAATTTCAAATGGAGGTGCCAGACCCCTTTGGAAATCCTATACATAGTCTGCAGACCCACAGGGGCCCGTGGACCACAGGTTGAAAACCACTGATCTAGAAAGATTCCAGTGTTTTACAATATTCCTTACAGTCAAGCAATAGGAAGATTCAATTAGATGCTTTTAATTGTATAAACTAACAAACTTTATGGAAACCCAAGAATTCTTTGAAATTTCTCATAGTTTCTCTAGCCACTCAGTTTCACTTTCGTTAAGTTGCAGCATAAGCTGAACTCACCAAACTAGTTAAATGTAACCACCTCTAGGCCTGATCCCACAAGGTGCCACGCACTACCTGTGAAGTGTTTGCAACCTCAGCTGCCTGTGAGGGCTCACTGGCTTCACTTAAAGTTAAGGATACTCAGCACTTCTCTTTGTATTTTTCTGCTATTTGCAGCCTTAAAAATGTGTGCCATAGTGTTGTAAAGATACATTTTTCATGGATAATATATATTGAAAACCTGTTCTAAAGCTGCATATTTTAAACCTCTACCAAGCAATAGTACTTGAGAAAATGTTTGCATTATGCAGCAATTCAAAAAGCAATAAAGGGAACTTTTAAAAAACAGATTTTGAATGTGAGCTGGTGATATGGATTAATTTTCCCTCTGTTTTAAAGCAGAAATATTTCTATAAGGGTTTTCAATTATTTAATTTATGTTTTATTTTTTTCCCTAGGGCAGTGTCTGTTTCCTCCATGTCAGAATTCCAGCGTTTGATGGATATTTCTCCATTCCTTCCTGAAAAGACCTTGCCTTCATCGAGTAGTAAGGAGGATATAACACCTCCTCTGTCCCCTGATGATCTGAAATACATTGAAGAGTTCAACAAAAACTGGGATTATAGTAACACCAGGATCCATAGTGGGGTTACAGAAAAGCCTGCAGAAGCCTGGGCAGAAAGGACAGAGATTAGGAAAGTAAGAAGTGATTCAACTTCAGATCCATTCCAAGCATCGTCATGGTACCTTACCACCAGTGTTACTATGACAACCAATACCATGACCAGCCCAGAGCCCTGCCAGAAGCAGCCACTGAGGAGTCACGTTGTAACAGAAAAAATGGGGGTCAAGGTCTTTCACAGTCCGCCAGTTCTCCGTAGGCTCGATAACTCAGCGATAGCTGGGAATGGAGGGAAAAAAACGGTTGAGCCTGACTTTTTGTTTTCTGTGACCAAAGCTAAAGGGAATGTGGGGGAGACAAAAGGTGCTTCCTCAGATGTGTTTGGGAGATGGCCCTGTGATCTCACCAAACACCATAAAGATTTTTTGGAAAGTGGTCTTCATCCTATTGAGCATCCTATTTGCACTGCTGTGGGTTTTGCCTCGTCCTTGCAGACCCTGGAGCTGTCCAAGAACATGAGTGACGATATGAAGGAAGTAGCTTACTCTGTCAGAAATGCAATACGTTCTAACTCTAATTCGGCAGAGCCTCAGTTTAAGGACATAGCTTGTCAAACCAATGGTATAAGAACTACAGGGACACAGACCACCCAGACAATCAGTGTTGGCTTGCAGACAGAAACCTTGCGCAGCATCACCAGCAGTCCACACAAGTGTCTGACACCAAAGGGGGGCTCCACACCAATCTCATCACCATCCAGAAGTTTAAGGAGCAGGCAGGTAGCCCCTGCCATCGAAAAGGTCCAGGCCAAGTTTGAACGCACGTGCTGTTCTCCCAAATATGGATCTCCAAAATTACAAAGAAAAATCCTTCCAAAAACAGATCAGCCAAATAACCGGACTTTACCAGGAACGCCTCAGAAAGGATTCAGTGAGTCTGCTTGGGCTAGATCAACTACTACAAGGGAGAGCCCAGTTCATACCACCATCAATGATGGCCTCTCCAGTTTATTCAATATTATTGACCATACCCCTGTTGTTCAAGAGACCCTCCAAAAATGCAGCAGGTCTAGCAGCCGATCTAGGTCAGCAGAACCCAGATCAGAACTGGGGCCCATGCAGGAAATGTGTACAAGTGTCCGTGGCCGGTCACCCAGTCCTCTCCGTTTGGGCACAGAGATGGAAAAGGAAGAAGAGTCTGAGGCGACAAGTATCAAACAGGATTTATCTGCTCCTCCAGGGTATACGCTTACAGAAAATGCTGCCAGGATCTTGAATAAGAAACTTTTGGAGCATGCCTTAAAGGAAGAGAAAAGGTTAGCTTCACGCAGCCCACCGAGTCTTAGCAATGACAACAGCACAGGAGAAATAGTCAAAGTAGAACCAGGGTCCATTGAGGTAATGAGTTTTTTTTTCCCCTTCTATAATTAATTATTCTTTTCTTTCAGGAAATATCTTATGAGTTCTTTTATTAGTAATTGTTATTATAATTAATTTATTATTATTTTATTTGTATTGTGGTATCTCCTGTAAGCCTCAGTTGCGGACCTGTTGTGCTAGGCATTGTACAAACACATAATAAAAATGTGGTCCCTACCCCAAAAAGTTTACAGTCTAAGTAGATTATGTTTTAAAATATTACTTAAGTAAACGTATGCTTTAAAGAATAAAGCTGACATATGCTAGTGGGTCTCCCCAGAATACCAGGAGTAAGAGTTGCCTATCACACTGGAAAATACAGATGTGCTAGGCCCAGCAGATTTTGAGGGAATGTTAATATTATCTTGGAAGAAAGGGTAATAAAATTTTTGTTCAAGAATGGGTAATTGGTTTTAACAAGTCAGATGAAGAGAATAGTACATAAATTTGATTTCCCTCCCTCTCCTTCCCACAGGAGTGTCTTTACTGTAACTTTTGTGGATAACTCTGAATAAACTTGGCTCTGCTGTGTAGATTCTGTGTGTATATGTAAGTCATTAAATTACACAAAGCTTGGAAATCTACTACTGCAGCCTTGCAAAATTATCGTGAAAATTGATTGGTCAAAGCATAAACCTACCATGACAGTGAAGAAATACCTATTGCTATTTTACTCAGCTGTCTAAAAAATGTACCATTCATAATGTATCCCAGCAGATATGCATAAACATCATGGGTCAGATCTCCAGCTACAGCCAAGGGGAGTGTACAACACAGATCAGGGTAGCGTGCAAAGACAGACTAAAGCTCAATTATTAACTGTTATCTAACATCCCTTGCCACTTTGGGTTCTAACCTGGGTACAGCACTGTCATGTTGGTCAGTGATCTTCTCCTGGTGATGGATAAAAACCAGTGGTCAAGATTCTCTGCCTCACTCTGGCCCCTTTATGTCATTCCAATAGCCAGCGCTCCTCTGCATTCCCAGGTCCTGGAATGCCTTCTTGGGATCATAGGCATCTGGGTGCAATTTAGAGACGCTCTGTGTCTGGTCTAAGTGGTGCAGAGGGCTGAACCAGTAGCTGAACTGGCCCCTTGCCAGCCCCAGGGATTAGGGAGTTGCAAATGTGGTATGATGCTCTGGTGGACTGGAGGATCTGTTCCCAGGTCTCCATGCTGCTACTACTAGATTTCTCAGCTGCCTTCTACGCCATGGATCGTGAGACGGTGTTGACATTCTTGTAGTGCCTGGTGAGTCCTGCCCTTAGGTGGCCTCATTCCTTTCTGTTAGAGAGTACCAACAAGGTAGTATTGCATATTTGGTCTTCTGTCCCGAAGGTTTCTCTTTTGGTTTAGATCAGGTGTCCGTGCTGTCGTCACTCTAGTTCAACGTGTATGTGAGACCATTAGCAGAATTAGTGAGGAGATACTGGCGGAAGTGTTTTCAGTTTGCAGATGACATCCAGTTCTATACCTTTATCTTGTCCAGCCTGAGGTGTGTGTGGTTGAGTGACTTCCTCAGTGTCTGTCTGAGTCTGAGGTATGCATGAGAACTAGCTGGCCAAGACTCGGTCTAGATAAAATGAGATGAGTATGGTGGGTTAAGGGAATCAACCAGAGAATTCAACTGAAATTTCGTTGTCCTCCTACTCCTGCCTTATTATGGCTGTTTGTCTTCCTTTGTCGACAGAATTCTGTTAGATTAGGTTAGATTCCTGGCTACCATCAAATAGCAGCAGGCAAATAGCTGTGGTCAGGGGTTGTGACCTTTCCCCCCAGACTTGGACTTTGCTTCCATGATTATCACCTTTAAAGCTAGGACTGCTGGAATGTGATCTACAAGAGCCACATCCATTTGGAAGTGGAAACTGGTGCAGTGGCCCCATTGTTAGGTGGAGTGTCTCGCCTCTGAGCATGTGACACCAGTGTTCTGGGACCTGCACTGACTGTTTCTTGGTTTCTGGGTGAAGTTTAAAGTGCTGATGTTGACCTGTTAAAATCCTAATAGCCTGGGTCTTACCTACCTGAGACAGAGTGTCCTATCTCCTGTGGCCTCTCTCAGATCATTGAAGGTGCTCAAGCTAGAGGTCCCCTGGGTATATAAAAGAGGGAGCAGCTATCAGGGTACTCATCATCAGGGCCCCTCTATTTTGGAATTCACTCCTCGCCATGGCCCCAAATAGCACCAATTTGTTGACTTTCAGGGCATGCCATAATGCCCATTCTTTTAAACAGGCATTTAGAGTGGGATGGGGGAGGTGCTGGGGATCTTAGTGGTGGGAGATTTTGTCCTGCAATTTTTCTTTCTGTGACTGGTTGTTTTAAATGAGTGAAGTTTTGCTCTTGTTTTGTTTTTAATAGTTATTGCACATATTTTCAATTGATAGCAGAGCACCTAGATCTTTCATGTCGGTGCCCTTTATGTTTAAATTGAAATAAGTGCGAGAGAGAGAGTGTGTGTGTGTGTGTGTGTGTGTGTGTGGAGAGAGACCCACATACAATTTTTGAATTATCTGTAAAAATTGATGGAAGTGTGGTTTGTGCACATACCTCAGAATAAACGAAAGTGGAGAAAGCAGCTTTGCTGTCTTGGACTATCTTGGCTGCTTATATATTTTCTAGTTTATTTGAAAACCAGAAGTATAGTTGATGGATTACTGTTCCCATATTATTTCATTTGTAAAAATATGCGTTGTACTCTCACAGCTTCATCTCAGCTTTGCCTTCAAGTTATCATTGAAAACTCTGGAATTCCATGTGTACCTTTGAAATGTCACAACAAATTTCCAGTATATAAAAGCTGAAGTTGTGCCATGTCACCACAAATTGCTGTTGGCAAAAGTAACTAACTTCAAAACATGGACATGGTCTGTGGTGATAGCCATGGTGACAGCCATACCTGATGCGATTTATCAGATAGTCACAATGCTCATGGCAGACGACTGCAGCTCTTTGAAAATTTTCAACACCAAAATTATGCCCATTGACTGACTTGTAGGATGTCAGGCCTCAGAGCCATTCCAGGGGCTATGCCCCTTTTAAGAGCTAGATTGTGTCATTTACAGCAGAGCGCTGTGCAGGGAGTGGTGCAGAATTACATCACCCCAGGGGAAGGGGGGTACCAGAGAGACACTGCCTCAGGCAGGTACAATTTCTTCCAGGGCTTCCCCACATGCAGGGGTTGCACAATGTATTCCATCTGCTCCCTCAGTGCACCGGCCTGATGAGGAGGTGAGGCTGTGAGACTGCCTCTTTCCCACCCTTCTATACCCTCTGTTGAGCATCTTTTTCTCCAGGGAAGTGTTAGAAGGAAGCAGCCCCTGGGCTTCCCAGAATGCAGGGCCTGGGGGAGTGCATGGGAGGCTCTCGCACAGCCACAGACAGAGAAGGCCCACTCATGGTCCGGCACTGAGTAAATGTTTGGTTTTGACAGGTGATTAGGTGATAGCTGCACAGGTTACCGCTATAGTGTCCCATCCTCTCCCAGGAACATGTGCTGTTCCCCTGAAGGGGTGACCTTGTGAGCTTCACTCAGATGTGTTAATTTTCCAAAATGGGGTGCGGTTTTAAAGAGACGTGTTTGTGGAATGTTGATTTGTTGTTGGAAATGAAGCTGTAAATATGTTTAGGATCTGAATATGCCTTGGGTCACTTATGGATTACACTGTCCACATATGTCGGAGCCTCACCTAGAAGGCAGGCTATGCTGAGTGAAATGCCCTGTCAGTGCTGCTGCTGCCAGCACCTCACTGTGCAGGATTTTTGCGGAGTCTCTTCTGTACTTACCTCTTTCCAGCCAGTAGCAGTGACCATCACACCAAAGAGAACAGCCCCTTCTTTGTAGTCAGGGCATGATACATTAATTACTCCTGGGGACATTCTGTGCCAAAAAAATAAAAATTCTGTGCACAATATCTTAAAATTATGCAAAATTATGCAAATTGTATTAGTCAAAATAACACTACATGATCACACCAGTTTCAATTATTTTGGTAATTTATTTCAAAATACCTGTCAGCAAGTATGTCTGTAACAATACAGACACACACAAAAATTCCCCCAAGATTAGAGAGTTAAAGAAACCCCTATGACAGCCCAGTCCCTGTTTCTCTGCCTGATGCTTGGTCCCAGGCTTGCATGGAGTTTCCTGCGCGCCGCTGTCTGCTTCCCTCAGGGTGTGCTGGGAATTGCCGCTGCCAGGAACACCCTCTATCTCCCCCCAGCCCATCCCAGCAGTGTCTTCTATATGTAATCTGGGCTCTGCTGGGTCCAGCGGTCCCTAGTGGCGGCCAGCAGCACTGCAGCCCATTTCTGTGGGAGAAAGGAAATTCTGCACGCACAATGTTCATTTCTGCAAAATTCGGCATTGCACAGTGGTGCAGAATTTCCCCAGGAGTAATTAATGACTTTAAAACCTGCATGGAGCACCAGTTGGCAGCTTTTTTTTCTTTGAACTTCTGGATGTTCCAGTTATTTCCTTTTACATTTCTGCTGAAACTATGGAATTTATTTTCAGTATCTAGATACACACAATGGTAATAGCTCTGTTTGCATTCTAACTTGCTCAGAGCTGCTTACAAGCAAATTCATATCCACCAGATTTGGCCTACCAGTGCCTTATCCTGCTAATTCACTAAACCACTATGGTAGTAGGCAATCGTGGGGTTTATAAACATTGCCATTGATAACTTTAGCAGGCTAGACACGAAAAAGTGACATGAAGATTCCTTTTCTGAGCCTGGCAGGTACTTAGAGCATTACACAAGTTACACTATCATACTGAAGTGGCTGAAGAAGAGAAAATATTCGTGGAAGGCATATCCAGCAAGAAACTTAGTCTTTCCACTCTGTTCTTAATGGCTGAATAATTGCTGAACATACTCAGCTGAATCACTCAGGAATTGGGAGGAGGGAAGATGGTGTCAGAGTAAAGTGCTTTATCTTCAGCTGAGCCTCCCTTTTATTGTCATTGTTAAATGCACTAAGAAGGAAGGGTGAAGCAAATATCTATCAAAGGCTTATATGGCTTCAGAGTAACATAAAACATCAGTGGGTTTTTCTTTGTTATGAATTTACAGATATTCTTTCACTTAAAACCAAACAAAGCTAAAAACAACCCTGCAGTATTCCTCCTTCATGGTAACATTGTTTTCTCTGACCTAAATATGAATTGGCAAAGGATAGCATATATCTTTCTCTACGTAGAAGGAAATCCTTGGATTCTTTAATGCTATGTCCATTTCTAACACAGTGCAAGGTTGGTTGGTTTGTGCTCTAAATTTGATTGTTAGTGTCTTTTCTCTTAGCCCTCCCATGAAATCTGATAACATGGTAACATGATATGAACAGGTAGTGACGTCTGCAGGGCCGACTCTAGGCACCAGTGGCACTTTTCAAGTGGCGGCACTCTGGCCCTTTTCTTTTTTTGCACTTGGGGCGGCAAAAAACCTAGAGCCGGCCCTGGACGTCTGATGAGCTCTTCCTTGCTGAGTATAAATCTTCACTTAAAAAAAAAACCCTGTCCAACCTATTTGCTTTCTTTTTTTCTTTTTCTTTTTTCTTTTTTTCTATCCTGTCCAGAACCAAACTGTCTTACTAACTGCCCCCTGGGGACTCTAACCCTGCCTGCCTCACTGCTGTAAGTTCTTTCTACCTTGTTTCCACAGCTGTCTGAAAGCTTTAGTTTTGAAACTTTGAGCTAGTGGAGATAGGTAAGTAGCAATAAAAACAACAATACTTGAGGTAGCCAAGAACGTCCAATAACAGCTGATTCCTATACAGTTCTTCCCTTGAAATGTTTCTTTCTGACTTGGAATAGAACACTTTAAAGATTGGCCTATTCTGCCTTCTGCCATCATTATGTTGGACATGAACATTGATAGCTCCCATTAGCTTCCTTGAGATTTAAAGGGACACTGTCAGGTCAAATTTAGCCCAAAATTTAAATTCTGTGAAAATTTAAGTTTTTACAAAACCTAGGACCAATATAAATGTATCCATAATTCCCTCCCTTCCCCCATCCCCCTCCGCCCTGATTTCCAGTGGAAACAATTTTCTAACAAATACTCACAATCCTGCAGTGTTTTCAACAATCTAAAAGTGAAACTGACTAGAAACAAAAATTTGAAATTATATAGCCCATTTTTATGATCTAAGCTTAGAAACATGAACAATCAATGATCACAATAAATAACCAAGAGGAAATGTCATTTTTATAGCTGCATTTTAATGATCTATGGTAGTTGCATGACATTTTGATTGTTAAAAGTAATATTTTGGCAGTGTCCTTTTAATTCTTTAATTTCCTTCCTGCATTCTAAGAGCATAGACCTATCATTAGGATTAATGTGCATGTAATCATGACTCCTAGAAAAGATTCATTTTGCAGCCAACACATTAAAAGACTGTGCTGCCAGTTACCTGTGTGCCCTGAAGCACCAGGGCTTGCTTGTGCAACGTGTGTTGCGCTGTAGGTGTGTATATCACTGATAAGAATGAGGAGGACTTAACCATGCCTTTCTGTCAAAGCTGACCAACATCTGTGGCTATATTACATAGTTAACCAAAATTGTTTACCATTGCTATAATTTTGACTCCCTTTCAGTTTGCTAAAAGCAAACAAAGCTAGAAAACTGTAATTAAAAGCTGCTCTTTCAATAGAGACCAAGATACAAGCCCAGAAAAACACAGCCTCAGCTCATCCTGTTGTGCTTCCTGTAGGTATTAGTGCACAGAGGGACTTCTGTTAGCAAGTGTCAGTACAGTGCGACATACTGTGTGTTTCCTTAGGCACAACAGGATAAGGTGAAGTAGGGACACAGAGACAGTATCCTTACTAGTTCTGATTTATACTTCAATCTTAATGTTGTTTTAACAGAGTGTTGTCTTTAAGTTTATAGTACAAATGTTTATGTCTGCAGGTGATCGTAGGGTTCTTTGCTAACCAGGACTTATGTCATTCACAGTATAGAACTGCTCTCCAGAAATGCTGAGGGCATCTCAATAGAACATGATCTTAAACAGTAATGTGGTGTTACTGATCACCCTTTTAGCTGCCTATTGTGTAAAGGCTAGGGGTTGGCCCTTCTCAGAGGCTTGCTGAGCTCTGGTGATACTCTACTCCACAACCTACATATGTATATGCCGCACACACAGGCAGTTTGATGTCCTCTGGCTCTCTTGTTCTACAACATTCATCTTCCTTCCCATTTTATTGTCCGAGATACTTCTGTATTACATCATCTTGCTCAATCACTGCGTATCATATCATGATACCTAATTCAATATTTCGTAGTCACTTTCCTCTCTCTCTCCATACATTGCATGGCATGATATTAAATTTTTTACTTCCTAATGTATTGCTCTACTGGTTTGGGGTTTTTTTTGGCTCATCGTTCCTTAGCATCATTTGATTTATAAGTTCTGCCTTCATATTTTGCCAGTTTGTCTTCAGATTTTATTATTGTAACTTGCACATAACTCTTTCACCCTGTAGAGTGATCTCTCTTCAGTGTATACATTTCTACATGTTGACAAACTCGGCTGATTTGCTTTTATAGTTTCCAAGCTATTCAATAAGCCTTAGAAATTCAAGATTTTTGCTTTGGTAGCACAAGGCAGCCATGCTTCATGTAATCAGTCAACTTGCTATAATGGGCATGCAAACCGTGCATGAAATCTATCCGTTCTGTGGGAGAAGTCTATCAATATTAGAAGTAATTGTCAACGTTTAAATATAAATAGGGTGCCAGTGTGAAAAATCACCAGTGCTGTTTGTCTCTAATTACACATAAGGCCTACAGATCCTGCTGCAGTGAGAAGATGATGTAGCGAATTAAATTTTCAGACCTGCAAATTTTCATCCTTTTTTTGATGGTGGATATCCACCTTTAACCTACAGTACCACTGAATTCCTGTAGCTCAGGCTCAGTCAGCTGGCAACAAGGATTGATACGTTATAGATATTCGTTCAAATTCTTAGGCAAGCCTCCTCTTTAATGTAGTTGGAAGCAGTAACTAGTCCCATCTCAGTACTCTCCAGCTAAGCAAGTCTTTCCTGCATTTCAGTCTGACCTCTGAAGCAGAGGAATGAGCCTGTTTTCACCTCACTTGCAAATTCAATACCTGGCACTTTGCTTCCAGTTTAGCATTTTGAAGCAATGTGATGGATAGTGGGGTTTATTGAATTATCATGCAAATATACCTTTCGGTTCTTCTTTGTAGCCCAAGGAATATTAGCAAATGGAAGTTTGTCAGCTGCTTCAGTTCATCAAAACCTTCTCTTTTTCCTTTTCTGTTCCATCAGTCACAGACGTAAATGTAGATATTTTTGTGTGTAGAAAAGTATGCTCCTTGGTTTTGTTCCCTCTCACAAGATGCTTAGTTATAATCTGTTTTTTGTTTTTTTGCACATGTAAATGGGCCGTATACGAGTCACTAATATTTTTTCCATCTGTTTGCTGCAAAGGAACTACCTTGTTCCGCACTAGCTCCGTCCCTAGAATCCTGCTTCTCCCGGCCAGAGAGACCAGCAAATCGGCGCCCACCTTCAAGATGGGCTTCACATTCCCCTACTGCCTCACAATCTCAGTCAACTGGAGATTTGACTTCCTCTGAGGAATATGGAAGCAAGGAACTGCAGATAGAGAACCCAAACCAGTGATGCAAGCCTGCATGAATTATTAAGGGAAGAATTCACTGTAATTTGCATTTTAGCACCATCACCATGGCCCGTCTTTCTCAACAAAGAGAGATCTAGTTGTTGAGGTCAAAGAATGTTTTCAAGCTCAACTGCTGAATGTCCAACCTGTGAAACAGCGATGTTTCTAGAATGAAACAGTTAATGTGCCTGTAATAACTTAATTTTTTCATAGCTCAGAAAACTATTTTTGTCTCCATCTTTTCTACATACAGTCTATTAACAAAAAAGGTAAAATGATATAAATATAAAGAATAAGATTTAAAATAAAATGTACATTTTTAAGGGAAACTGAATGCACTCTCTCTCCCCCAGTACTGACTGCCTTTTTATTATATTTGCACTGTTGTGTTTTTTATTTTGTTTGGGGGGGGGATTGGTTTTTTTGAGGGTTTTTTTGTTTTGTTTTCCCCATGTAAAACTAGGGTATTTTTAAAGTTAATTTTATTCTATTTTAATGTCAGTGTCACCAATTTTAAAAGAGGAAGGTTCTTAGGGATGCTTCATATTGTCAGAAGCAGTAAATTTTGAGTAGTGAAAGCCATTAAGGTAGTTGACTAGAATTGAATTAAATAAACTGGAGTGGAATACAGGTAAACACACCACATTTAAGAGAGAAAAGAACGCCTCAGAAAGTCTTGTGAAGTTAGCTGTATAATACACATACAATACTTGACTTGCATGCCTTTGGGTTCCTAGCACTTTAGTGCATGTACATACTGTTGCTCTACTTGTACCATCACATAAATGTGAGTCAATCCGTTTCACTGTAATATTGTTGTGAAATTACCTGTACTGTACTTTTATTGTTGGTATTCTTGAATTGACAATACAAAAAAGAAGTTTTTAAATTATTGTTAACAGTTCAGCTGGCTATGTACAGTGTTTACTGAGAACTTTCTTTGTTTTGGAGAAACATTGAGAACTCTGGGCATACTAAATTGTAATTGGTCTTGTTTGAGTCTGTCTGAGACCATGTGAAGTGGAAATAAAACCCTCAGTATTTACAAACCGCTAGAGTGCTTCCAAATGTTTGTTTCTGATCTGGGATTCTCTATGTGCATTCAGCTGAGAATGCTTCCTTCTTCTACAAAAGGAAAGCAGCAAAAGTTTGTTTAAAGAATTGAGATATTGACATACATACACACTCTGGGCCTGATTCAATGCCCAATGGAAAGGCCTCCCTCACAGACTTCAGTGGGCATTGGATCAGGCCTGCATGCAAATATGATAAAACCAATTTAGAGGATTTCTAGTTTTCTTTACTGTATTCTGCAGAATAACAGATGACAAGACCTTTTTTTCCCCAACTCCTTTGATAAATTATTTTTGGGTTGTGGTTTCCAATCATTTGTTTGTGTGAAAACAAAATGTTTTGTTTGTTGTGAATGTTAACTATAACGACATCATCTTGATTTTTTAACTTACTTTGGTCACCACCAGTATGCCAACATTTATCCAGGTCGCACGCAGAGGTATTTTGAGAAATTGCTAGACTGTTTATAGGAAATGACTTCACAGCGTCCAATACCACTCTGGTGGTAACTGTCCATTTATGGTTTTACTGCAGTGCCCATTCCCAAAGTGCTAAACGGAATTGGTGTCTTTAAAGCAATGTTCATGGTGGCATTAGAGTGAACTCAGTTCTTCTCTCCTTGGATCCAAATCTCTTCTAGGATTGTTTTTTCTTGCCATGTTAGTATTTCCTTGTTTTCTGTTAAGACAAGAAGGCTTTGGCAAATGAGCGAACCTTAGTGTTTTAAAGAGGGCAAGCCTATACTTCCTCCTAGAATTTGTTCCAAAAGTGAGTACCTTTGCCTTAGAAGGCTTTCTCTCTGGCTTTCACAAGCTTCATCCTAGACCTTATCAGCACTGTCCCAGAGATCACAGCTGACAAAGGAGGGTCACAGAGAGAAAGAGATGCTCTAATTGTGGGTAAGTGTTGAGTTTCTGAAGTCAACCATTGTATAATGCATCACTGCTATTCTGTTGGGGCAGCAAATATTTTCTTACTTTTGTTTATGTGAGCAAATTTTCAATGAATTGCACACACACACTCTCTCTATCTCCATTTAAAAGGTCAAAGAGTGGTTCCAAAAGAGGTATTATCTCTCAGAGGCAGAAAAGGTCCTTGAGTGCCTTCAAATCTTACAAATGCTAGAACAGCCATGTTAGAGAAGACAGAGTTGGTGGACATTGTTTCTTAGGTTAGCAAAGTGTTGTCTCCTAGATCAAATATGTTATTGTACAGGTGAGTGAACAATACTGAAGATCACAGAGATCAAAAGTGCTAATTTGTTTCTTATGATATTCATGGTAATTTTTTTTTATTTTGAACAATGCAGAGCAAAACTGCATATAACTGGTTAATGGCTTGCTACCATGAAGTGGTATTTGCTTCTGGAATCAGCGACTACAGCCAACCCAAGGGATTAGGACCCAGCCATCCTGAAATAGTATGTCTGAGGATAAACAGCTTGCTGCACTTTGCCAAGTCAACTGCTTACATAACAGCAGGAATCGCTGAAACCAGAGAGAAGGATGGAGCACAGAAAGAGAAGGTCAGCACATAGAAATTCTTCAAATGATTTTAAAATACCATTAAAAAACATAAAATCCTTTCTAGTCTAATTAGTGAATACAACAGCAGCATCCAAAATGTTACACATTTCCACAGGCTCTTTGGAATCATCAAGGCTTTTATCTTCCAATACTGCTGCAGGTGATGTAGGGAGGAAGGGGTTTCTTTTTATCCTGGCACATTCTATAAATATTTAAATAAATCTTTACAAGAATTATAGGCCTGTAATCCAGCTAAGGTTATTTTAAGTGAAGTCTGAGATAAAGTAAAAGCCCAGATGTCAGAAAGCTTGTGGGTAATTCAGTATCTGTTAGGTTGTTGAATATTATCTCGCCAAAAAATGCAGGCAAGAGAATCCTAGTAGACTGCCACACAAATTCACACTTAAAAGAGTGTTAATGCGGCTGTCCTGGCTGCTCCTGATGAGACTGAAATATATAGCTGGGTTTCATTGAGCCTTGTTGGCACCTGACCCATTGGCCTTGGGATTTGCCTAGTGTTCTGACTTAAATGCAGTTCTCTGTGATCTATTCAGTAGGGATGTGTTCTTGCATTGTGTCTTACCAGCAGGACTCTCGCAATTCCATTATTCCTCCAACCATCATGTGAGGGTTCAGGGACAAGCGGCACCTGTAATCTCTCTCCCAGTCTCTACCATAGGTACTCTTTCCAAGTGACAGGCCTCTATCTGCACACTTCCCGGAGTAGAACCCCATGGTCCAGCCTACATTAGACTAGCTCACCAGACTACAACACCTCCTATTCCTACTGACCTGCCACAGTCACAGGGTGAGTGATGCTTTATACTTCCTTGCATTCCCTCATAACTGCACCCCTCAAGTAACAGGTTTTGCTACCTTTACTGCTGTGCCCTTGGAACCCTGTGATTCTGCCCCTCTTAGGCTGGATGCCATGGTGGCAGCCCACCATTTTCCAACTGTGTTACCACTGCAAGCCCCACTGCAATTGGCACCTGGAAGACACTCCTCTCCAGGGGGTGGTTGGTTAAAGTGACTCAGAACAGAGCCTTTCAAACAGCCATGTTGCCCATTTGCTAAACATACTCTGCAAGCAGGGAGAAAGGATTAAACCCACAACAGGCCTGCACACCTGGGTCTTGCCGATAGCTCATCACCTCTCCCAAAACTTAGGTGAGCCTAGCTGTCCCAGACATCCCACAGAGCCCCTGCCTTAGTTCCATGGTCCTGCTGCAGGCTTTGTCTTTATCTGGGCAGGAGACAGTCTTTCCTCCTGTAGTCTCTCTCTCTCTCTCTCTCTCTCCATGTCCGTCCAGCAGAGTCTATCTCTGAGCAGCTGCTGCCTGCTCACCCACCTTTTTCTCTATAGGCATCAGTTTTTAATAGCTTATTGTTCTTTTGATCTTAGGCTCTGGCCTTGAAAAAATAGGCCTGTTAACCTGGCTAGCAACAGGCAGGCAGGTATTCCCAATAACTAGCTCACCCATTGTTTTCCTAAGGACCCTGGTATTATTCTCATTGGAGATACTTTATCTCTGTCATTGTTTTGTTTCCTGTTTGTTCCTCCTTTGATTTAACTCCATTCAGCCAGCCAGAACAAATCAAGGAGGTAAACTGAGGTACATACAATTTTCATACAAAATAATACCGGTATCTCCCTCGTTCGCCACACAGTCCAATCTGCTTTCTAGACAGGCTTACTGACTTCAGCCAGGTTCTGCATCCATTTTCCAGCTGGTGATACCTCTAAACCTTTACAAGGGCACGGGCCACTTTCAGAAGAGAGGCCATACTTCTCAGCTACTTCCCATCAGGCTTCTGGATAGCCCTCCAATTCATGGCCCTATTCCCTATGAACAGAGATCCAAGACATAACATAAGCACATAAGAATGGCCATACAGGGTCAGACCAAAGATCCATCCAGCCCAGTATTATGTCTACTGACAGTGGCTAATGCCAGGTGCCCCAGAGGGAGTGAACCTAACGGGTAATCGTCTAGTGATCTCTCTCCTGCCATCCATCTCCACCCTCTGACCCTCATATCCCCTCTGACCCTCATATCCCCCATTAGTCTCCTCTTTTCCAGGCTGAAAAGTCCTAGCCTCTTTAATCTCTCCTCAGATAGGACCCGTTCCAAACCCCTAATCATTTTAGTTGCCCTTTTCTGAACCTTTTCTAATGCCAGTATATCTTTTTTGAGATGAAGGGACCACATCTGTATGCAGTATTCAAGATGTGGGCGTACCATGGATTTATACAAGGGCAATAAGATATTCTCCATCTTATTCTCTATCCTTTTTTAATTATTCCTAACATCCCGTTTGCTTTTTTGACTGCTGCTGCACACTGTGTGGACGTCTTCAGAGAACTATCCACGAAGACTCCAAGATCTTTCTCCTGATTAGTTGTAGCTAAATTAGCCCCCATCATATTGTATGTATAATTGGGGTTATTTTTTCCAATGTGCATTACTTTACATTTATCCACATTAAATTTCATTTGCCATTTTGTTGCCCAATCACTTAGTTTTGTGAGATCTTTTTGAAGTTCTTCACAGTCTGCTTTGGTCTTAACTATCTTGAGAAATTTAGTATCGTCTGCAAACTTTGCCACCTCACTGTTTACCCCTTTCTCCAGATCATTTATGAATACATTGAATAGGACTGGTCCTGGGACTGACCCTTGGGGAACACCACTAGTTACCCCTCTCCATTCTGAAAATTTACCATTTATTCTTACCCTTTTCCTACCCTAAAGATTCCCTGTCTTTTAACCTGTTCTCAATCCATGAAAGGATCTTCCCTCTTATCCCATGGCAACTTAATTTACGTAAAAGCCTTTGGTGAGGGACCTTGTCAAAGGCTTTCTGGAAATCTAAGAACACTATGTCCACTAGATCCCCCTTGTCCATATGTTTGTTGACCCCCTCAAAGAACTCTAATAGATTAGTATGACATGATCCCCCTTTACAGAAACCATGTTGACGTTTGCGTAACAATTTATGTTCTTCTATGTGTCTGACAATTTTATTCTTTACTATTGTTTCAACTAATTTTCCCAGTACTGACGTTAGATTTACTGGTCTGTAATTGCCAGGATCACCTCTAGAGCCCTTCTTAAATATTGGCGTTACATTAGCTGTCTTCCAGTCATTGGGTACAGTAGCTGATTTAAAGGACAGGTTACAAACCATCATCAATAGTTCCGCAATTTCACATTTGAGTTCTTTCAGAACTCTTGAGTGAATGCCATCTGGTCCCTGTGACTTGTTACTGTTAAGTTTCTCAATTCCAAAACATCCTCTAGTATCACTTCAATCTGTGACAATTCCTCAGATTTGTCACCTACAAAAGACGGCTCGGGTTTGGGAATCTCCCTAACATCCTCAGCCGTGAAGACTGAAGCAAAGAATTCATTTAGTTTCTCCTGGACTTGTGCTTCCTCAACAAGCTTTGCA